CTAAAAAATGGCAGTACAATATTAAGAAGATCCCAAAATCAGTTCATCCAACGGAGTTATTGTTTCCACCCAAGTCATAGTAGATGGAGCTTTAACATGAACACCCAACTCGATGCAATTTAACATCTTTTGGTGTTTGTTTTAATAAATGTAACGGGTCAACGCTGACTGCAGCAGGTGAGGAAGCGTGAGTGCGTGGTCGGTATCCTTCTCGTCTGCGCATTCTTTTACCTGAGCTAACCTTACAATTCCGAAAAACGAGCAGCGGTTATGAAAGACATCTTTCACTACTGGTAGGTGAGTCTGCGCTTTTCCCGTCTACATGATGTATTGTAGCGACTTGTTATTTTGATTTTTATTTCGAATTAAATCGCTTCGTAGAAGATTGGAATGGTTGTGTCTTGTGATCGGAGCTATGCATCCTGCGAAAAATGTGGGGTATTCATTGGAGAAGTATTTTCGACACTGGAAAAGTCGAGATGATTGTGTTGCTACTCGAAGTCGGCCATTTCCCATCGACTGGTTGGTTTTAGTAAGTGATGCGAGAATTTCTTCACCTGAAATGATTGCTCATGCAGTCAATTTATCATGTTGAAATTTGACATCTGATGCATTAATTAAACTTTTTTTGCTTTTATACAGGGGCCACTGCGCTATGGCATGATCTCACACCATCTTTTGAGTGTTGAAGAACATTTACCCGCCCTTGTTGGCGTATTGTATGGTTATTTTTATTCATATTCTTGCTTTTGGGACTAATGTGTCCCGCTGCACGGCTTATGGAACCGATTGGAATGTTCTACACTTTGAGGCTTACTCAAGCTGCCTTTGTGGTGGCTTAAAGTAGGGAATGTGACGAAGCAAATCGCTTGGACGAGTGTGTCCTTACTTTATCGTGTAGTTCGAATAGCTTAGTCTAGAAAGGTCAAGCTTGGTACCGCAGGAGTTTTTGTTACGTGGAAGATCGGCATGATGACACGTGTGAGTTAGTGATTTCGTCGTGCACCCAAGGCGTTTGGATACGGAGTCTTGTTTTGGCGATAGGTGTCGAACATACTTGTGACCTTCGGGAGATGACACGCACTGCATCTCAACTGAGTAGATTTGTTAGTTGGGCGGCGTGGCTCTTCGTTACTTATTTTGAAACGGGGAGTCGGGTTTGAGTTGTGTTTGGTTCTTCATTCTCCCTCTCGGTGGGTTGGTGGTGGTTTAGTCACATGTCGGATGGGTGTTGCGGTGATCTGCTGCACTGAGAGTATGGTGGGCATGAGGTTGATACGTGGGATGTAAGTGGTATTACTTTGTTGGGCATTTTGAAGGTGGGGTGCCTAATGCAAGGGTGAGAAATGTCGAATCATAGTTGTGGCCACTCGGGGGGTGGCATTGTCGTTCGACTAATGAATAATTTGGTTTGCTTTACGATTTATTGAATTTTGTTGTGATGTGGGTACGAATTTCATGTCTTGTGTGACGGGCAACGGAATTGAAGGTTGAACTGCTGGCAGTCTCTAATGTACGATGTCTGGAGTCCATCATGCTGCACGCTTCTGGTTGTGCTGTAATGTCCACTTCTGCGGTGCTCGTCGAATGCACAATGTTTCGCTGCAAAACATCGACATTGGGTTTGCATGGATGGTAGTTTGCATTTGAAGTAATCCCCTTCACCTCACGTTTGGAAGCTGTAATTGCATCCGCAATCAGTGGATTTCAATTGAGACTCCGCAAAATATTTGATAATGCGGGAGAATGATTTTCCGGTTAGTTATTTGTGTTACTTCACAGTGTCATATCTGGGAGAGCATCTGTGTTTAATCACTTTCGTCGCGAAAAGCGGTGCACACTCTACTGCTATTATTCTTCTTTTTTGCTTACATGATTCACCATACTTAACTTTTTTCGCCAAGTTTAAGAGGATACATTTATTTGAGGCCTAGCAACGATTAGCAATTAAAGCAACTGCAACCTCGTAAAGTCCTACTTAATTCATATTAGTAGTTTCGGAAAGTAGGGTCGCTTCAATGGGGTGGATGTAAGCTATGCGCAGAGCTACAGTGATGAGGATCACTACTTTGGACCAACATTTGCTCAAAAAGTATAAACGTTTGTTAGCTTTTGCCTTCATAACTGGCTGGGTGGAGGCGAGTTGAAGGCAGCCCAGTAGAAGCAGGAAATGAGCGTGCAGTGGGTTGAATGAAGGGAGACTTTTGAAGGCGTGTAAAAAGAACATAATGTAGTGGACTGTCACAACCTTTCTATTTTGTTCAAGTTGTGGTGTGAATAGGTTTGATACTAAAGCATTAGTAAATGATGTAACTATTTGTCTGAGAGTACTTTATTAGACACTGTTTGGTACACTATGATTGCTTTGCACAATTACGAAAGTGTTCTTTAATAACATTTGCATTTGTTCTGAAAGGCATAAAACTTTACATCGATCCGGCTAAGTATTTGGATGCCTGATTGGTGGATTGGTGACAGTGGATTGCTTGGAAAAAGTGTTCTGTATTTTATGCTCCACAATCTCTTTTCTATCTGCATTTCTCACAGTGAGGGATTACGGATCCTGCTCCGACTGTCGGCTGCAAGCACTCGGCTCTATCAACTCATCGAGGTGCTCAAATACATTCGAGAATCTCTACAAGAAGTGATAGATACGAATGAAACGCTGGAATTAGAGAAACTCCTATCTGCTAATGCCTTCTTGCAGTGAATGCTGTGATCCAACGTATAAATGGTCAGGAAATTTGCGTCTGTTAAAATTTGACTGCTCATTGTGGCTGTCACCTTGCGGTCGTGTAGCGGAGGTGTTGTGGAGAGGCGATTGTGGGCAAGAAGTTCGTCGGATAGAGAGAGAGAGAGGTTACAACTAGTGAATGTCACTGTAACTTTTCGAGACTTCCTGTTTAGTATTAGAAGGCACTGAAAACGACCAAATACTAATAGCTAGAGAGAAGGGGAAGTTGTGAGATTTCGGCATTGCTCAAAAACCAGCCACCCCAGCCAAGAGAAAGAATGACATAAAAGTGTCAAAATACTGCAGGTACAAATACGTAATTTGGAGAAGGCGTCAACATCACAAAGTCAGTTCCGCATGACGTCTTTAAAAATTCATTGACAATTGAACCTTCTACGGTGAGCAACTATAAACGGTGTAGAATACCGTTGGTTCACTTACTAATAAAGATGAAAAAAGGGGAGCATTGAGTTGTGAAAAAACAGGGGCAAATAAAAGGAAAAAAGAGAAATGGAAGAAAGAAGTAAGGTAGAGGGAGAGGGGAAGGAAAGGATGGCGACCACTCTCATACATTGTGGTAGCAACTTCATCACGATTTCCACCAGCTTAGGTAGTAAAACCGCAATGAACCCAGCTTTCTTGCTTTGGGACGAACTCCCATTAACGAGTCACAACTCTTCTAGCAGAAGATAATGCGTTCATGCTCCTTGTGGATCCACTTCTGCCAGGAGCTCCTTTCAATCTGTAAAGAACTTTTCCTCAATACAACCATTACCCTTGTGTTGGTGCCTCAAGGAAGAGATGGCAGTCATAACAGGAGCATCATTCGCTGCCTCATCAACATCTTCGTCAATTTTGTTTTGCATGAACTCAGAACGACACCACAAACCCCACCATAATTGTAACGATGTCTGTAGGCACTTCTCTACTCCCTCGTTTTCCGTTAGCCTCGATGTAGGGCAACATGGAGGTTCGTCCACGCTTTTGCACTCTTCGAAGTTCACCAACGCGTTAACGACACAGGTTAATCCTACCACTCGTGAGCGAGAACATCCACTTCACTTTACTGTGGTCAGAGGATGGAGTAGTTCGATTAAGTTGACAACATTTTCTCCACCATTTTCCCTCACCCCTTCCATTTGGACCGCAGCATCGAGACATCACTTCATCAACAGAGCTGTGAATTCAAGCAATTAACAGACGCCAAGACACCAATGAATGGCTGTGTCGAACGAATTCTCTAGATAATGACATTCATGGAATATCAAAACCTCATTTTCAACCTCTCAATCGCATATCAGAGGACCACGACCCCAACGATCCCAATGCTGGCCTGGTAAAGAATCCAACACAGTGAGGTGAACGCAAATGAAGAGCGTTACGATACAAATCGTAACACTTTACTGCTTTGCATAAACCTCTGTTGCATTCCGTTGAGCTTTAGACCCCAAATTTTAGGACTGACTGTCACTACGAATCGCATGGAAGTTTGAAAACATGAATGGGAACGATTATGGCCTCCACAATGCCCTTCGATTTACGGCAGCAATCCAACAAGTTGTCAACAATCAAATTAACATTTTTCTCACCAATTCAATGCGCCTTCCCTCTGAGTACTTTTGAACCTCAAAAGCATTTTAACACTGCGACAACACTTTTGCGACTTCTTCAAATGTATTAATGGCAAAACAGCAGTCACTACGAATGCTGCCTGATGAGTGACAATGGCATCAATGCAGGGGTCATAAGGACGGGAGAAAGCACCAAATGAGAGGACACACATCCAAAATACGCACTGAAGATAACGAGGTGAACGCTTGTTTGTCATTTTGTTGGGCTATGACTGTTCGAGTGATAATGGCGGTGTATCCTCCCTTAAGCGATTTAAGTTGCGGTGTCATGCCAAAGGACATTGTGCCCACTGCAAACATGTTCATTCTTAGGCTCCCTTTGAGATGAACGTAGAAGAGAGAAGGGGGCAAAGATCTTTGAAATTCTATTGTTAAAACTCCATTCAATTCAAACCGCCTCTCTGAGTCTGCAGAAACGCATTTAAAGGATAACCTATTCAAGTGCAAAACACAAATCATTTATTTGCTCCACAAATCATAAATCACACAGAAGTTGATTGGACCGCATTCATCACAAAAGAAGTAAACAAAGAGTGGAAGAAGGAAAAAATTATTAGTAGGAGAGGAATAAGGGAGTAAAGCGAGGCACCATTCCAATAATTTACAAGCAGGTACAATTAGGAAATCACACCAAGTTAGCGCAGCAAACTGTTCATTATTTGTCGCTCCTTTTGAGAGGCCTTATAACGATCTTTCGGCATATCTTCACCAATAGCTTTGGCAAAAAATGCCATCTTATCCTTGAAAGAAAGATTTTCCGCGTTTTCTGGTTGAGTTACGCTCTAAAGTGAGAAGGAAGTGCAGGAATCAAGCCCCTCACTAAGATCCACATTTGGATAAACTTTTGAATTTTACAGGGAGATATACGAGTTTTGTAGGGTAACCATAAAATAACTCACTGATCCGTAGGTTGGGCTTCTTGGCTCCTCTGAAAGTTGAATAAAACATTAGAAACCAGTTAACCAATCAAATCGGTGCCCTAATTGACCAATCACAGAACTAACTTGTAGTCGGTTTGCTACATCGCAGGGGTGATTGGTTGTCCATACGCATTGCAAATCTCTTTGCTTGAGTAGATGGTTGGAAAGTTTGTCCCACGGATGCGGAAGGAGTTTCAGGTGGTGAATAGAGCGCTACTGATTCAAGATTTGTGTCAAACGTCACCGATTTCCTACTGGAGCGCAACTCCGGCACACGTGTCAGCAGAGAGTCGCGGACATCGGCATAGGAGGAGGAGGAAGAGGCAACCGAGGATTGAAGAGTAGCGATTCGGATGTAGCGTGGCGCAACTAATGTTTTGACCCCACCAGTCTCTCCATCGTAAAGTGGACCTGTGCCGACAAATGCAATTAATATTTCGCCATCACGTTCACTAATAAAAGTCACTTTTACAGATAGTTGACAGTGACTGCCGGCCAGACCGAAATGGAAGCAAAAAACAAGACAACTCAAGTTATCAGCTAGGCGTCAATGCGAATTCCGTGCTATTTGAAATGACTTAAGCATCAGGGCTGCTTGCGTAAAAATGAGTGGCCAGGCGACGCAAAATTTCATCGAAGTGAAATTCGTTACTTTCAAAAGGCGCCTTAGACCTACCCGACTCCACTTGGTAGGTATATTTTGGTTGCAGTGGTGGGACGGAGGTGGTTGGAGGTGAGAAATGAAGGTTGCCAGAGGCGGAAGACTTGGGATCGGAGTTCTTGAAAGGAACGATTATGATTAAGGAAAATTAAGCGATACAACATTTTAAATTATCCACTTTTCTACTCCCAACGATGCGTTAGACGGTGTCCGCCGCTGATATTATGGTCTGTCTCGGTTTCAGTGAGAACGCGAGAGAGTGCATTGGTAATCGTGTTAAACAAGCCGATTTCCAGTGGGTAATAGGCCAACACTTCATTCACCAATTAGCACTTCTCAAAGGCACCGAAGTGCCACAGATGCTGAATACTTTAAGAACCGGAGTGCAACATCGGTGAAGACCGGAACAACGGCTAATGAAAGGGGAAGGCTGAGTTCCACACAACATTTGAATTGCAACCTCAACCAAAATGGTTTTACAATCAGGGACAGAGTCTGTTGACTTCAGCGAGGATATAATTACTGAACTTTCCCTTGTTGTACCGCTGTGTCTAGACCAAAGAAAATTGCCTACTCTCATCCCATGTGAGCCTATTGAACCAATTTTATGTCCGGTTCGCAGTTTCATGTATTAGCTAAGTGTTATGACACTCGCACCTTCAGTAAAAAGAATTTTGCACGGCCTAACAATTCCTTGAGGCTGCTGAAATAAAAGGGATGTAATAACGTACCTGTTTTCGACCTAGATTTTCTTCATAAATTCGAGCCCTTTGCTCCTGCAAACGAAGTACCTCCAAGCGTTCCTTTGCAAAGTCGTCATACCTGCAAGGAAAGTAAAGCTGCGTTACTTGATCCGTCAATTTGAGGAAAGAGAAAAGGTCCACCGTTAGAATAAGAAAATCTGCGCACAAATTTCCATGTCTACCGAAGAGAGGCTTAAACCCAAAGTAGATCTCCATTCAACTTTCAGCACCATCAAATCCAACCTAATAAATTTTAACATAAAAATCTGCAGACTTTCAGCTGCAATGTAACCATCACGTCCGCCTCGAAAGCGTTTTCAGCTACTGCCACTGTGACATGTAACAATTGTTGTAAAAATCAGTGTTACTATTCGAGTATTACGGCTGACTACATAGCATAACCGTTTCCACTGCTAATTCGAGGGGCGGAAATGGACAACTCACAGTTGGGAAGAAACGGATTCATTGGTAGCGATCATATTTGGTACGAACGGTCGCGACTTGGGCATAACTGGAGGCATGGCTTTCGGTGAGACGATCTAAGGTTTGTAAGAAGAAAGAAAAAACGCCTCCTTTAAATTTACCAAGTAGTCAGTTATTAAGGTTCAGGTTTGTGTTTAATTGTCTCAAAGTACACTCACCAATCAGAAACCGACAATAAGCGCGAATCTGATTGGCTGCACTCAATGAACGCTTTACCCCGCCTCATTTGCCGCTTAGGAAAGCCAAGATTCTTTACTCGCATCAATTTTTCAGTTACATTATTCCCAATTGAAACTTCTTTTCCGAAACCAAATTTGCTCTTAAAAACGTAAAAATCAATTCTACATACTCCATTAGAGGAGTTCAGGTGGGGCGTATTCAAGGATCGCGTCCGATTCCTTTCGTTCATTTGGAGTTGAAAGCGATATTCCACACGCAGCTGATCCAACTCTCTTATCAAATCGGCATTTGGATTGGCCTCCACCGCATCCTCCAATTGGCGAATTCCACGGGCCAAGTCCTGCAGACGTCGAGAATTGCTTTCCGCCATCTCAGACTGTGACGCACGGTTCAAACCGTCTGTACGCAAGTCATGACTGGATGTCGACAGCTGTGGTTGGAACATTAAAAAAAGTACTAAGATGCTTGCAAAAAACTCTCTCATCGAATTCAATCGATGCGCTGCTATATTTACTCTCAAGTAACCACGACAAGCCCAAAGATAGTACTTACCACTTACCTAAGTAGAGGACAGTCGATTGCCTGCTACGCTTAACACTAATACTTACTCAAGTTGTTTTTACTTACCGATCTTGAGCGCTGGATGAGATCCAACCTCATCGGTGAGCTTTCTCGGCTGGTTGATCTCTGCGGGATAAAGTGACTAGCTGGAGGTCCATACACACTCAACGAAGGCATCGTTGGCGAAAGTGATGGTGATCTGTGACTCCGAGGAGGCTCCACATCGCCGTACTTGATCGCTATGTCAGAAGGCTTGAGGCTGTCTGGCGGATGGTATTGTGGGAAATTAGCGGTTGGTTCTGGAGGTGGAGAACCGCCCAAAATTGCCACATTGGTCTGAGAGGACCAATAGGTCACACCAGATTGGATGGTACTTGGTTCTGGAGCGATGTTTAACATCCTTGTGCTAATATTGGTAGTAGAATAAGGGGGACAAAAATTGGACGTGGAAGATGAGGACGTCACAATTTCCCGCTTTGGAAGAGATCTTGATGACGGCAATGGTTGTTGATGGAAACTGCATTTAAGATAAGAAGGGGAAAGAATAATAGTACTCAACGTTGTCTACTGGTCTAACGCTTCAATTTCACAACTCACCGTCCAACTTGCGGATCTATGACTGCCTTTGTGACGTCCTCCACCAGAGTGCATCCAGTGGGAGGCGAATTGGGTCTGACTGCGACATTTTTAATTTCTGGTTGCCGCACGATAGACTGTCTATCCAATGGAGGTGTATGCCTAGCGGCGTCTTCTTTCTCCTGAACCACTCGCACTGGTTCTGTCTGTACTCCAGAAGCTTGAAGGGGAACCGTTGTGGAAGACTTCGCCGACTCAGCACTATGGTTAGTATTGTTGGATCTACAAGAATTTCAGAATGAAAGAAGGTCTCATGAACTTACTCGGTAATGGTTTGCATCGCCTTGTCAGTGACGCTTCTAGCAGGGGAAGTATTCAGCGGAGAAGTTGTCTTTTCGGCAGTGGCAGTAAGAGTTCCAGAATGGATTCTTTGCTTTACATTTGTTAGAATATCTTCACTTTCCGAGGTCACTTCGGAGGCATTCGTGTAGACGCCTTCTTGGGAAGGTTTGGAAATGCTCGCTAAATCTAAATTGACACACAATGACTTTGAAAAGCTGCTTACCTTTTTTAATTTCCTGAGTGATTATGGATGACGTCGAGGACAGAGACGATAATGATGGCGAGACATCCTGCTTGGAATGACTACTTTTCTTATTACCAAGCGCCTCGACATTGCGTTTGGCAAAGTCATTCCAATCTGTGGAACTTGACCCATTTTCAACGTCATTACTGGAGGGTAGTACCATTAGCCCGCTGGATCGGAGATCCTGCTGTGATCGAAACTTGTAGCTGTCAAGGGAGCCCTGGACACTGGCCTGTGTGAAAGAAAAGTGCTCTACAGCACTTCAAGGTGTTGAGCACTGACGCTCCAACCCTGATGGCATGAAGTCATCACAAATCCACTTGGACTGTTCGCCAAGCGAGGCTTACGAGCACTGATGGAAAGAAGAGCCGTTCAACCCAAAATCAAAGGAAATTTGGGAGCCTCCCTCAAAGGAACTAACTTTTATAGCGCCGCTTCGAAAGTTTATCCAAAACAAATGAGTGTAACGTAAAACCTCATCGAATGTTTATAAAATTTCTTAGCAAAAGTAGGAGAGGAGAGGAAGTTTTCGAAGCATTTAGAGCCTTACCGGTGATGGTTGAAAGGAGAGATTTACGCCTAATGGTGGTCTCTCTCCATATTTGGAAACCGGTTTAAGAGTCTTCTCTGTTGGTTGCCAAACTTCATCGCTGCCCTCGTCACTAGAGATATCCTCAGAGGAGACTTCAGACTCCCGAATCTTGGGAGGCTGAGCCATCCCCGGACCGCTGGTCAAACCGTCCACGCTCTTGGGTCGGTAGACCTGCCAAAAGACATTGCAAATTCAGACACTTAATCATTGATGCATCGCATTCTATGCATTGACAGCCAATGCCCATGCTGTGGAGCATTCTTTCAAGCATCAGACGATAGGTCAGTACATCGCAAGTATCAAATCATGGTGTGCTGAAGAAAGCAGCGCTACGACAACGGGGACGCACAATCCAATTCCAAAGTCGTCTACCTATGCTTATCGAAGTCTAAAATCACCAAAGGAAAGTCTCGAATGCTGTCAATAGTCCATGGGTGCCCCTTTGTCCCCTCGTGCCACTGTTGATCGTGGTAGATGTCAGTTCACAGCACATCTGCCTATGCCGTCAGTTGTGCCATTGGTATCTCAAAAAGGCTTTCAAAGGAGTGAGTTTTACTGCACGGATAAGGCGGTGGGGTCAAATCCCTTTAGAAAGTTTAGACTCCACAGAACTTTAGACTTTCCCTATTTCCATGCTCAGATGGGTTAAAAGGCAACAATAGCACAGTATTTTCTGTTCATCAATCAAAACTCTCACAGAATGCTGCGATCGGTTCTGTGAAGAACCGTTGCCAAGCGACACTTTTGATCCAAATTTCACTCCTTCCACGCTATCATCATCATCGTCGTCGTCGTCACCGTCATCTCCCTCCTCCTCCTCCTGATTCCAACGACTGACCTGGTTGAGTGAGGACGTGGAACGGGTCATCGGAGTGGGGAGAGGTCGCCCTCGTTTAGCAGAATTGATTAAATTCATAATTCCTCTCGTCTGAGCTGCTCGTTTGGATATCACTAAATGGACTGCATTTGGAATACGTGCAAGAATGGCAACAGCAGCTTCGGATTGGTCGCAGTTGACAAGAGAGGAAGTGGCTATTGAAAGAATCTGATCCCCAACCTCTATGCGGCCGTCTTGAGCTGCCACGCTGTTTGGAATTATGTGCCTGATGTAGATCCCATAAGGTGTATCACCTTCAGGCTAAAAAGGAATTCCCACGATGCTTACACCTATTCATGGCTCATCACGCAAAACCTCATCTGATACTGTTGGAAACAGCTCACCTTTGCAGCGACTATGCCAAGACCTAAAGGCTGGCCGTTTTTGTGAAGAACAAGACGTTTTACAGAGGACAGTTTGACGCTGGCTTCCTTCGCAAGGATTTCGATATTGGGATCGGCTTGGGCGTTGCTAGCCCTGCTCATCGGACGCCCACTGGAGGCCGACCTCGAGTCAGACTGAATGGGCAGAAATCGGCATATTTTTGCAAAAACAAAAAAAAAAACAAAACAAACCAACATTATTACCAAATCAACAATGTGTTCATTAAGTTGAAGGTTTTACACTTCCCACTCAACAGTATCAATCGCGATACTAATTGCTAGTAGTAGCTTGAACAAATTCAAAATTGCGTGGCTCAAAAGATACACTCACTCTATGCTTGAAGTGTCCAATCCACATTCCATTCAGCGGCGCCTTAAAAGCCACCTCATTTCGCCGCACACTAAGACACCCGTCATCTACGAGAGGCTGTACGGTCTCCATAAAACCCTCAGGAATTCCAACTAGACCACTAGTGGCGACATACCCTTCTGGAGGCACTATGAGAGGCAGAGGCAACTCAACAGGAGCTAATAACGAGAGCAATTCTCGAGTCTCACGACTGGATGGAGAACCGTGTTTCTCCATGATTTCTCGATCAATCTCCTAAAATGTGAAGCGCGATTGGAGGTCAGCATGGTTGCAACATTGACACAATTATTAAATAGATATTTTATCCATAGTTTTAATAAAACAGACCTGTCTAACGCTCTTTGTAATATTTTTGACCCAATCCGAAGTCAAAGGAGGTGGGTCACCAAGATGCGTAAGCAGCCATTCGACTCGGGAGCTGTTCAACGAACGCAATTCTAGTACCCGCTTTTGAAATGGGCGGAACTTAGAGCGATCTGCGGTGATAAGTTGACAGGTCTTCAAAACAACAAAAACGCCAAAATAATAGGTTTTGGATACTTGAAGTAAAAAACTTTGCTATTGAGGAAAAAACAATGGTCTAAGTCATTGAAACAAAATCGCGAAATCAGATAAGATTTATACCATACTACTTTTAAGTATTAAGTAAGAACAGTGTTGCAGTGTAACTAACGCACCTGAAAAGGGAGAAGGAGATGCACCTCACAGACGCTCCCCAGTCCATGTCTTGATGCCCACTGATTAACTCTTTGCAGACGTCGCATCAGACGTCCAGCACCCAGTCTGGTCGTCCACAAACTACCTACACTCCCCTTTCTACTCCCTTGATGATCCTCGGTCTGAACTATCGAATTGAAGATCCAAGATCCCATGGAATGAAAGACATGGGCAAAAAGCTGAAGCGCAAACGAAACGTTTACACACGCCTGACGCATCCCCCTCATCATAAAAGAGAGGATTTGAAGGAGACGCTGAATGTTTGGCTCTAGGTTTGCAGACGACATGGACAGGTGAAGGTCCTCAGACGGTGGAAGAGGCCTGTCATCCAAACGCAGATCATCTTGTTGATCATAGTCTCCGGGGAAGAGCAGACTTAGTGCAAGATACTTTAGGAGATCTAGAAAGGCTCTACGTAACGAATGGAAGGCAGAATCGATGCAGTTAGCAAGGATGTGGCTAGAAATGGCAATAGCCTCAGAAAAGTCGACATCGTTATGTAGGAAATTAAGAAGTTCACTGGAATTGGCCAGCCAGAAAAGAAGCTGATTGAAAGTGGTACGCATTGAGGACCATGTGCTGGAATCACATTGGCAGCAGCTCTGGATACACTAGAAGTGCAGATAAAAAGTATGAGAAGAGTGTGTCAAGCACATCTTCTGCGTCCAGGTGATGAACAAAGTATACCACTCACTTGGAACATCTGACTTCCGATATGATTGAGCAGGCCACTAAGATAGTGCTCCTGTTGTTCCCTTGTTAGTTGGGCAACCTTCCACCGCCGCAAGCATCCACGGAGGAGTCCATAAAGCAGGAAGCCCGGTGTAAGAACAAAGATAGGAGGCCTGGATGTGCTTTTAATTGGGGCAGCGGTGGCTGAGGTGGTGTGAAATGAAAGACTGGTCGCCAGTTTAAGCACTGCATCAACAGAGTCGCAGGCAGCCTCATGAAGACAGGCGGCGAAATCATCCGTGGTGGTAGAAGTAGTGGATGATGGTAGGCGAACATCCACGAGGATCGGAAGTCGATCAGAAAACAACTGTTCCGTGTTAGCATAGGTTGGCTGATTCTGTATGAATATAAGGAGGAATTGGAAGATTCGCTTTCTAGAATATCGACTACGGAACAAAATGAACTTCCGAATTAAAGACTTTCCCACTTGCCAAAGAAGTCCGACTCCTGTATTGTTTTTCAGGACTTCGTCCCTTATACCCTCCCTGGAAAGTGAGGTCAGGCATGGATCCCTTAGGAGCTTGTTCCTGAATTGGTCGTGTTTTTTCCAATGAGGCCCCCTGCTCAAGAAACTTTAGGAAGAGCGACTGACCCAACTGCACAATACATCCATGTCGGAGGGGTGTTGGGCGTACTACCTTTCGACCGTCCAGGCAAACCGCTGTGGGCCCTGGAGGTCTTGTCGTTATGTCGAGAGCGGGAGAAATGAGTACTGAAGCACCGGTGCTTTCGCCTTTACCACCATCGACTCCCGAAGATGCTGGAAGCAGAGTGCAATGCACCGGACGGATGTCAGGAAGACGATTCTGTGCACAAATTCTAGCGGATAACTTTTGATACAATTGAAATTGTCAGTTTTTACGCATAGAACACTAACGCACCGCACTGAGAACAATATTCGGCGGTGGCCCGACTGACGCGAATTGAGAGCCGACTTTAATCGGAACACCTGCATTCTGTCTCCCACATCCTTGTTGAACGAGGCCGGTGAGATTAAATCTTAGAACCTTTCCAAACTTAGCCGATCCATCAGGATTCACCTCTACCAGTTGTGGAGTCGGTCGCTTCACTGAAATATTGACGTAGTCCCGTTGCAGCGACGTATTATCCTCCTGTGGCGAAATGCTACCATTTTGACGAGATACCAGGTGAAATTCTGTACGAATTTGTGGAAATTTCGCTTGAATGCTTTGCAAAATATGTAGTGGTCTCTCCTCAGGTCGAAGTATGCAGCGAGATGGAATGCCATAGCTATACGCGATGAATAATTAAATGCTACTGAATTTTAATTAGTACAAATATCGGTAAAAAGAAGTAGAACATACGGGAGACTTAGGCTATTTGGTGGAATATTGACTTGCTCGAGGCAGTAGGACCCGACGTTTTGTTGACGACCGTATGAGGTGAGGATGCGTTGAATTATCTGATACGAGGTCTCTGAAGCAGTTGTCTTGAGGGTTTGGCTATGGTTAGGCAGGTTGGCAGACTGAAGAAAAATTTTCAGCGCTCTAGCTGCAAAAAAGTACAAAGCAGAAAGTTTTCTTTTAACACTTTTCAGATAATTAAACTATTAGACTTCGTAACGACAACTTTAACTACACTACAAGAGAAGTGCAATTGTTCGCCAACAGCAAGCGAAAAGGAGGACGATTATCTTCACAATCAAACCGTCCAACATCTTGCACAATCAAGACCTCACCTTGTGAATCAATGCTTTCACGGTGTGCGTTCGTAAGGGCCTCCGGTTCATCTAGAACATTTGGCAAGGAGCAGGTTCGCATAACTCCTTGATCATCCACAAACTCAGCTGCCAACTTCTGCTTCCTCTTCATATTACCACTAGCCTTCAGAGACTTGGACTTCTTTTTACTCGATCCTAACGACGTCTTTTTCTTCTTTCCATTGTCGATAGCAAAGACAAGCTCGTCAGAGCTATTGGCGATGGGATCTTGTGATCTCGCATAAGCTTCCACAGAGGAGGTTTCAGTCACGAGATTACCCGCGCTTCGCCACTTTGCCATGTTAACGTTGCTACTACTGCCTCCGACATTTGGAGGGTTGCGGAAGCCCTAAAAAGTAATTTGCTGGTTTTTGAAAGGTAGATGACATCAAAACCCGATCTCCTAACTTTGTTGACTAAAATTACACTCATCAAGCACTGCCCTCAGAAGTTGCTTCGTAAACACGATGCGAAAAGTGAAGAATTTCATTACCCCGTCTGTAAAGTTCAAAGGGTCAAAAACGCCAAATTATATTTACTGAGCAGATATTTAAATCTTAGCCAAACTTTTACCCCTACAATGTTAGAAAAGTCATATTTTTCGAATTGATAAAGGGATTTGGTGGTTATGCCGCCGAAGCAAGATGGTTCTGACGATAATCAACTTCCTGTCTCCCTTTAAGCAAGGCACTAAAATGTGGTCTGCTAAATCTGCACACTTGTAACCAACATATCTGCTTAATGGTAGACCACCTCACCCCTTTCCGCCCACCACTTCGCCAACGGCGGCTTCCCATTGGTGAGAGATCGAGTGTAGTGCCCGTGACTTGGCAGTCCATTTAGCCGTCCACATGACATGTCAAGCAAACGCAATATTGTCTCACCCATTGGTAAGAATTGCGTGATAAGAAACAAAACACGCAAGTGATCTACCGCTTAGATTATAGATGCAAAAAAACAACCCCCTTTCATGCCTCTTTAAACGGGCTTATCGGAAAATGCTCGATTTTACTTTGAGACTGGAGAACCAACAACCGAATACACATAACTTCAAAGGGAAGTAACTATACGGTTCAATATATAAAACTGGGACATGGTGCGTGGATCAAACACATCAAGAGAACTGCGAAGCAGAGTTGGGGGTAGTCATGGTAACAAAGAATAACCCAAGAAACGTGCCTTTGCTCAGCAATACGTGTGCAGGCACTTTTATTTACGCAGCCCGTCCCAACCAAAAAAACATGCAGATAAGCAGTTTTATCATTTCCGGCCGATTAAGAACGTCAGCTCTTGGTTTAATGAGTGCCCCATGGAAAATGAGAATCTATTTACATAGTTAACTCAAAGAAAACACAAAAATAAACACCACTAAGGGGAGTAACAATGAAACGCATCCGTCCCCGTATTGATCTCTCAATTTGAACGGACCAATCATGAGTGAGATCGCATGTTGTTTTGGTTTTATTGGCTGAAGTGTATCAATTAGCTCAAAGCAATATCGATAATAAGATTTTGGTTTTCTTATGTATCCAGACTCACATAGAGCCCAAAAAAGTTGGTTTATTTACTTAATTTTAAAAATTCTTCGGTGGAAAAGTTACTCATGGCTTAAATTTTTAACTACAAGATCCAAGGTTGGGTTGAAGTCTTCATTACAAATGTACTTCCTTAAGTAGAATAAATGGTATGACTTTAAGAGCTTTCATAGAAAATTCACAGCTATATAAGTTTGGGATAATAAAATGAGCATAACCTAAGCCTATTTCTTCCGCAGTTTTCTTTCACTTTTTGAAACTAATGTCAATGATAAGGTGAGTATCTGCCGTCATGCCATTGCTCTCCCGGCTAAATTACACTACCCCGAGAATTACCTTCTGACTAATAAAATGTTTAATGACATTGCAACTTCTGCAAGGCTAGAGATAACTGAGTTAGACGATAAGAAATATGATTTCTTTGATAAGCCACGGCACGACTAGGTCTCCTAGGACGCCTTTGCCTATCAAGTTCTGTCGATCTGGACATTCGACCAATAGTTGTCACTTTGGTACACAAAATACCTCAAAACTTCCATACGAACTGCACGAACGCGGAATAACTGCGTTTGGTTAGAGGGAGGGCAAATATTGTGGGCAGTAGGTGCGTGTCCAAGCGTGTAAAAAATTTCGCACAGTCAAGTGTGTGTTTGAAATTTCACACTAATCCAGATCGTGTGGTGAATGAGGCTTGCCTCAGAGGACAGACTGAACTCACAACCCCAAAAGTTGAAGGCAGAAGTTATGGTGTCACAAGAGCTAGTAGCGAAATGAAGCACAATTTGTTGAATTGGATCTGAAACATACTGCCAGCACCTGATCCATACACTTGGCCAATTACTCTCATTACCACCTCCTAAGTAAATATGGCATGTGGATTTGGTGGGTGGAATGTGCAAAGTTGGTAGTCTACTCGTAAGGTTCGCAAATATAATGCATAATGTGTACAGAAAAGTGTCCACTCGTCAAGACTTCACTCAGAATTAAACAAGCGGAGTCGACGACGATGTGACACATCTCACAACGGGAATGATGCCTATTTTTGCACAAAGAACCGTCCAAATCTGCATTTCTCTGAGTCAGTTGTTGAATCAGACCAGATAATCGTATGCGAATCGTTCGTCGGTACACAAGTACCGCCACTTTCTCCCTCCGCTTGCACTGCTAGGTCATTAAGCATGCAATGACCAATTATTGTCGTTTTTATCGGGTCATTGCGGAGGTACCAAGTGGCCAAGCCTCCTCCGTTAGCGTTGGCCAATCGCGTCCCAGGAGCGTGTGCTACGACAAATTTCGCACAAATTACACCCATAATGAGTCTGTGACAAGCAACTGCGTTGAATGAGTTATGCGCTACAGGCTGAAATAGTCAGTGAGAGGAGGAGACCTTCGTCTTCTTAGCAATCCTACATCCGATTACGTTAGCAGCTCTGACCTCGATTTTACAACAGAGAAGCGGCGCATCGGCTTTGTGAAGGGGACGGCGACATTGGAGTTCCAGTGTGGAAGACAGCATGTCTCTCTAGTTTATACGACGTCCCAAAAGTGGCTAGTTTTGAAACCTTACCTATCAACGACCCAAATAAAAAGATGAGTTACGAGCTGAGCTGCAAAGGTGCTATTTGTGATAAAGAAAAATTAGCATCCTCGGTTGAGAGTGGTCGACAATTCACATCACTATCTTGAAAAGCGGTCACAGGTTTCATGCACACAAAAAAAGAGACCACCAAAAGGCGAACGCCTCTCGAATGGTTAAAACGTTGGTAAATCCAATGGATGACACACTGTGCGAAGATCACTTATAGGACAATTAAATTAAATGCTCTGACACCTCAGACATCACTTTGACATCAAGGTCGACCTCAACGAGGAATCCGCAATTTCCGATTCTGCAATTTATGACCTCTCACTCCTGTAGGCATTGAAGAGGTTATATGGAAGAACTCGGCATGGAATAAGCAACTGTACTTCTCATTGCCAGCACTTTGGATTAGCTCTGGACTCTCCTCTCATCACGTTCAACGGAATCTTCCTCCCCATCCAAGAAGCCGAATTGTGTAAAACACAACAGGGAAACATCGAACTCCCGACGGGAACGTTAATGCACTCACTTCCTTTAAACTACTAATCGGAATCGAAATGAAAGTCCAACAGTTCTCCTTCTTAAAAATCAAGTGTCAAAAGCGGAAAAAAACACGCTTTGATCTACATGGATATCCTGTGCATCTGTTAAATGGTGAGAAAATCACAAATGTAGAGGTCGGAGGGACCGGGCGATTAAAATTCGCCTTTCACACGTGTTGACTGTGAGAATTTGAGCCTAATTTATGCGCCAAAGCACCATTTTCACCAAACCGACGCGAAAGAGCTTTCTCACCTCTCTGTCCCCAACAATATTCTTAATGCTGTTTGCCTGGTTGTTAACGTGAAGACTGTTTTAAAGGAGGCCGCGTCTGACCCTTAGAAGGGATCCTACCTTCCTCATTTCCGTATTTTGCACAGCTCAAAGTACATCTAGCTGGACAAATTCATGATTTCTTATTTCCCATTACTCTCATTGTTGGAAAAGGCCTGATTGACGGGAGAAGATGCATGCAAGTCCGGATTAAGCTCCGACTCATGCAGTCGGAGGCAGTGTATAGCTCGCTTGTGTTTAGGGCAGAAGGAGAGACTTGATTGGCCAAGAGGAGAGGTTGACGCCTTATTGTGCGGACGTGGATGACAGTCTAAGACCCATTTTGGGCAATGCAACCACCTGGGTTTACTGTCATCCAAATTGACTAACTGACTCACACGCTCCTATTACTACCAATCAACATCTGTTACATGTATGTAAGGCTGATAGCGTAATTACATAACCTTATGCTATAACAAACTTTTCAAATGCACCGTGGTTCCAAATTCTCTTGATTTTGAACAAAAATGACGTTACAGTTCTGCAAAAAATACGTACCTACAAGTCATAATGGGTTCCCTCTTTACGAAGAATTTGAATGGATGCGGGAAAGGTATCATCTGCGAAAAACCATAAGTAAAGCATAGTCCGATAAAAGAGCACACAAAGACAGCCCGAATGATAAACACATACGTTTTCGCAAAGTGAAATCGATCGAAAATCAACTAATGGTTTTAAAGTAATTTTAAATTCAGTTAGCCTCATGGCTTTAAATTTTTTGCCGTTCATGAATGCATTCGCGTGTGAGCAAGGGCGACGACGAGATATGGTCTTAACCTTCTTCGAACAAAATCAACATGACCCTCCTCATTCTCAATTTAAATAGATAAAAAGAAGGGAAACGCGGGTCACTACCGTGATAATATCGAGTGGGATGTAAAACTCACCCTCATATCGAGCTTGGACTCGTCACGTAAAATGAAGCGGCCCTCACGTTGATTGAACTTCCAGTTGATTTGATTCATTAGAGGCCGTTCCTCAGCACCCAGTCGACGTTCTATCAATTTCATTTTAATAATAAGACGTCGATTAAAATAGTATCGACTCGAGATGCTAATAAAAATTGTAGTTACGAAAGATCAAAATTACAAGGTCAATAGTCATTACCATTAAAATGAAAGTGTTACCTCCAGTGGATGGATGAAATTCGTATAGCGCATAACGACCAGATTTCAAAAGTCGTAAATCGGGGTGAAATTTTTCCACAAGCACATTTACCAACTGTCGAGCAGTGGCGTGGCTTGAAATTCGGACACATTTTGAGTAGTATTTGTCATTCGGCCCATAGAAGTAAAAGCGTACTACACCAAAAAATTCCTCATTCTACAAAACGTACAATAAAGCGTGGCAAGAGGTGTGCAATTAAATGGCAAATAATCGTTGAAAACAATTGCAATGATGAGGCATCAAGACTAATATACGCATATGACATGCGCATCAAGCAACATATTGCAAAATCCAAGACAACTACAGCAACTTTAAGCAAAAATCCAGCTTGAACAATGTGAAAACGGTAGTTTTATACAATGAAGCTCTACACAATATACCACGGCGGAAATAATGTGAGCTATGTGTGAAAAAAGAAGCAATCAGAATAATTTCAATAGAAATTGGCATTATAAGTACCTCATTAGGCTTTGAAATTCGAAACAATTCGAGTGCATTCCGATTCCACTCGTCAATTTTCGAGGAAATATCATACATCGTCGAATGCCGATCCTAATTTGTCGTTTCAAAATCTATCAAACGCCTAGTAAAAGTACTTTTGTTAATTAAAACAACTTTTAGGTCATAAGTCTTATACTTTGGGATAATTTTTCACCTGTCAATTGGAATTGAAAGAATTTTTGAACTTAACGGTTTATCTGCTTTAAGGACTTTATGGTTGATACCATACACATTTATAATACTGCTAATAGATAAAGCAAAAAATTCTTAAGGATGCACAACCCTGCCATTGAACAGATAAAAACTGCATTACACACACAAGCTACCACACTTTTGTCCTTTTTCGCTGAATGCCCTAGCACAATGTTCAGGACCCTCGGCTTTTGTTCTCTGTCGTTTGCTGAGCTTACCGGAATTTTTATCTGAGCAGTGGAATACCTTTCCTTCCTGTATGCTGTTGGTCTACTCTAACTTTAGCAACGAATTTGGTCCCTAAACCAATGTTGTTGCATAACTCCTGTAAGTATCCTTCCCTCATTATTTCTCTACCTTCACTCCGAATTATTTTATGGGTCAAAGACCAACGGCAGAGACTTATTTGAGATACAACAATATAACTATTGGACACGGTGTGATGACCTCGTAGGACGCTATCGCCAGAATGGACTTGTATTAATGCGCTTAGTGTTTGTTCAACTTTTGCTTTATGGGTCAATGATGTCATTACACGCAAAAACATGTAAATTATGTGCCATTAACCTCGGACAAAAGTTCCTATTTATCCTTCACTATGGCACCTCTGATTTACCTTCTAGTGGTTAGTTCCATAAACGCAAAATTCCTCTACCTGCTTTCCCAGGAAAGGCAAGACTATGATAAATAGGGACATGTAGATTTTCTCGAGCACTTGTTTTTAACTTTAGACAGTGGATAGCACTATTTATCTCCGTTTCATTTCGAATTAAATTAAGTAATTGCGACGTGTTTACAAATCTCAAATGAGCGTCTCCGGATAGCGTGGGTGTTCAACGACTGAGTAAAAAGTAGTTCTATCAAAGTACTTAAAACGGTGCTCCTCGGTTTTGAAAATGTGCCAAAATATGTTATATGCTGGATTGTAGGGTGGACGACACACTGCTGTTACACTTTTGAAGCTATTCCCCGGAACCACTTGCAAAGTTCATTGCTCACCATCCTTGCCCTTGACGGAAACGCAGAGACGTACTGTGATGATGAAGCAGCTATCGACATGAAGGAAGCGCTACCTTGCCCACCTTACAACTCCACCTACAAGCATTTCAGAGTCACCTACTGAAGCATGCTAATGCAAATGATGACCTCCAAATACATCAGCATAGCGTAGTGTAAGAACAGTTAACAACACCAATTTAGTACAAGCTATTAACTTTGACTAATAAGTTGATGCGCTTTGTCAAACCTCACATGTTTGATTAACAGATGCAAGTTTTATGTGTAGACAGCTACTCCCTCCAAATTGGTGCATCAAGATCCCAAGACTGACCGCTCATTCGTCACTTTTCATACCCATTTTTTAACCTCTTCCCTTTACTCCACGTACTGGCAATTAATCTTTTCTTCCTTCCTCCGAACAACAGTATCTGAACGTGATCGGTAGGAAGAAAGTTAATCCTTCGTCGACTGGAGAGAAAGGTTCTTTAGGATAGGGAGGAATGAACTAGACTCACCTTGCACCCATTGGGAATCCCTTCAATGCGTCCCAACGAAATGCAAGAAAAGTGGACCGTTTTAGCTTAGATAAGTACCTATTATTCCAAAAGCAACACAGCTACAGATGGTCGAGGAGAGGTCAAAGGAAATGCCATATGGTAGCAATAAAAGTGCGAATCTTCCGCACCTTTGGAGGAGGCCGATGTGGAATCAAAAGGCAGACGAAACTTCGCTTAATTCATGCACCTATAAAAGACCAGCAAGACTATAAAATGAGACTGAATTCAGATTGTATAAAGAATTCTCCACAATGTATGACATCCTTAGGCCCCTAGAACACGTTGGAGGCCAAAATTGTAGGACTGAGAGATACCACCTTTCACCTTGTGAGTAGGGAGGACGGGACTACTAGCACGCATCCGAAAGGCGACAGCCTATCACCAAAAGTTCAAGTAGCAAGAAACCTGTGCCCAGATAAATGATGCACCACTTTACAGTTGAGCGTCGACCGACGTGGGGTAGCCACCTACTTTCCTGCTGCACTGGCAGGTAGGGTTGAACGTTCTCAAGATGATTGGGCAGCAGATGACCAATCAGATGCGACGTTAACGCTTTACGATCACTGCTAGCTGTTAAATATATACACTTTCGGAAGGAAAAGTAATAAGCTTCATCCCTTAGAAGTAGTGCATCCAGCCTTCCTGTTGCATCGTTTTGATCCTCTTAGTATCCGAGATAAAAGCTGGATGAGGACATATGTAGTTGGAATCAATAAGTGCAATTCCCAAATGCCCACAGAGGGAGACCAGAGTGTGGCCCTTACACCTCCTCCTTTGGGGATTGGGGACATCCAACACAAAGCAGAGGAGTTAAGACTGAACTAAGAATCTATCAATTACTATTTGAAGAGTCTATCAAGGCCGAAGAACATGCAGAATTATTTATGCGATTTTAAAGCGAAGAGAGTTCGTCCAGTTTCCAAATGAGAACAAAATTTAGCAGAGTAATTTGGTGGGTTAAGACAACAGCGAAAGCCACATCAATGGTCTTCCTGACCCATTGAAATTAGCAGGAGGCCGGTTTCGCCGCCAAAGGGGGATCTGGATAGCTGGCCATCTTGAGAATAGCGCCATCGATATCCTCCTCCTGCAGTCCACCCTCCTTGCCCTGACAACGATTCAGCCACACGCGATTCTGTTGAAAGGCACGGTGCGCTACCTGTCGCGCGATTGCAAGGGAAACGCAGCGTATCTTGTCCCACGGTGGATAGAGGCTGCCCTGACATAAGTCTGCATCGTCTACGTTCTCAGAAAGAGTCTAAGGGGAAGGAAAGAGGGCAGACTAAGTGAAGTTTGATGTCTACATAACCATTCAAAGTGGATCCCGAAGGTGATGAAAGCACCAAAAAACGCATCTGAAGGCTGTGCATAAGCGCTAGAAAACGGGTAAAAGTACCTTCTAAGTGAGGAAGCCAACACATCTATGATAGTCTGTAGGTTCTAAATGTTAGTTCGTATTCCGTGGAGTTTCAAACCGCACACCACACTACCTTCACAACCTGCTCAAGGTGTTCCTCGTGCCTCACTTACGGGTCAGAATGCATTCCGCCGATGTGAGCCTCTAAAGGAGTAGCTAAGAGTGTCCAAGTATCTCTGTATCGGTGGCGATTTGAAGCACCGTGCCAAAGAAGAGTTTGATCGAAGGATCCTGCCTTCTCCAAGCTTAACACAAGTCCCAATTGGAATTGAAGCCAGACCTTCATTACCATAATTCGAGTAGACAGCCACAATAATGAAGGAAGTGAACAAGCTCACCTCCGCAGCGACAATAAAGTCCTCCTCAGTGACGGGATGAATGTTGGTAGACGAGATGCCCAACACGAGACCCGGAAAGATGTAGGCGTTGTTGGCCTGACCCGGTTTTCTCGCCAATGAGGTATTCGGTGGCACGTCAGAGGCATCCAAAGTCAGAGGATCAAAGGGACTGCCACTGGCGAAGATACAAGCGCCCTAGAAGCGAGAGTGGGACGAAAAGAGTAGAATGTTTGATAGAGCACAAATTTCATGACAACTTCATACAAAAATCACATTTTTTCTCCCTGATGGCGTCTTGGAAGGGACCCTTAATCCCTGTCGTGCAAATACGTTGGTAGAACTGAATTAGAGCACCACAAGCTTTTGCGATTCCACACTCGGATTCCAATAAGAGGTAAGGAGGGGTTTTCTCCGATAATGAACGGAGACGAGAACAACAGAATCTCCAACCGACCGCGTTTCAGTGAGGAAAATTCCTCCGTAAACCACCTAACTATTGAACGCGAAGGTGGGAGGCATTTCTCCCAACCAACACAGACACATACCCAGACAGGCATTAAATTGTTCTAATTTGGCATACTAGTGAATCACACGGCCTTCTTACAAGCATTCATATCCAACCCATTGCGCAACCCCTTGGGCACAAATTTGGAGAGGAAATCGGATGATCAAAATGCATAAGCAATGAAACCGTGCGATCTCTGGTCTAAAATTCACGTAGGTCATTGAAGAACCACCTATTAGCGGTCAATTCAATGAGGTGCTAGCATTTTATGAGGCGACGTAGAGAGAAGCGATGCGAGGCGGGGCGGGGCAGGGCGGGGCGAGGTGAAGTGGTAAATTTATGGTGCAGACGACCTAGCGTCCAGACGATCAACAAATCTATGTTAGCAGTGTCGGCCAATCCCACGTTACCCGCTGGTGTGGTAAGACACAAAGCTCCTATTCCTACTTTTCCCTCTCAAGCGCAGCTTCTTATGGAAAAGGACAAGAAGAGCTGTTTCTTGCGTTCACAAAAAAAACAGGAAATGTCAGCTCCTAAAAAGGACGCATGTAAGCAAGACAAACTGTTACCTGGATCAATAAGAAATACATACTACCTGGCGTTTATTCATCAAAGCAACTTAGCCTGTTTCGATGTGGCCCTTGAAGGCCTTTTGCACTTTTCAACTCTAACGTCTCAACTACAGATTTGAGGGGAGATGCAGACATGATTATAACTAAGGCGACTGGGTAATAGACTAGGAGGGGGATTGTTGAATGGTATGCCCACGTCGGAAGGCTAATGAACTTTGAAAATTCAAATAACACCAGGGCAGTTGTTAGAGGTTCCGACACTAAAAAACAAGCCTAATTTAAATCAGACCCGTTAGTGTCTCGAAAGTGATCATTTCACGTAAATATCATCACGTGGAAGAAGGTCAGCATCTGGAAAGCAGGCAATAGTTCCATCCTTCCATTCGCTGCTCGCAAAACACTAAAGCAGGGGTTGCAGGAACTGATAATGGCCTAAGAGGAATGAGACGAGATAGAAACATGCCTTGGTGGCCTTGTAGGCAGCAAGAGCGGTGCACTCCGACTTGTGCGTAGGGTTGCTGAGCGCGAAGATGAGAGGACGTGGGCATTGCTTCGCCATGGCGGCTAACACTTGATCGTTGAAGGCACCTGGCACCGCTGAAGCACCAATCAGTGTTGTCGCCTTGGCCGCAACGATGACCTATGTGGAGACAGTAGGCAATTCAAAAGAGCTTGTCTGCAATAAGTGGAAACTTTGCTAAAGAGAATTTGGGAATGACGGGCGATTGGATACGAAATGAGACAGATGACGCTACCATGCATAGGTGAAAAAAAAATGCGATAGCGGCGGAGAATGCTTGAATTTATCATGGATGTGTGAATAAATTAATGCAAATCGGGCAGATGAAATGGGTAGAACCGACGGGGATAGATGAAGGGAAAATTGTGGATGGATTAATGAACACATTTCTGAAAGAATGGAGGGGTGAATTCATAGCAAATGTTTGAAGCGGTAGGTCCTTAATTAGCCCTCTCCCCTCACCTCCTTCAAATCCTTGATCTCCGGAACGGAGCCAGCAGGGCGTGCAAATGGCGCCTTTTCCGCGCTAATTCCACCCGATGATCGTCCTTCCACAATGAGACCACGACTGTCAACCAACCAGAGATGACTCTTTGCCTCCTCCTCACTCAGACCAGAGCGCGACTTGAGACACGCGACCAGAAGGTTGGCAAAACCGATCATCGATTCACCTGCACCAAAGCAGACAATGTTCTCCTCCTTCAATCGGCGGCCCGTCGCACGACAGGCAGAGAGCATCCCAGAGAGAATCACTGAAGCAGTTCCCTGAAGGAGGACACCAAAGTTTGATCAAAGTAAACTTCACCCCAGTGCATATGACGAAGGATGAATAGGCAATTTTGTTAGCACGGTCACAAACACGTGAGACACCAGACTTTCTCCTCCCCGACCTAATTTCGCATCTGAAATGACAAAGCATGACGTGCTTTCTGATAAAGTGCTCTAATAAAATTGACAGGTGATAGACGAAATAAAAAGCATTGAAAGAAGGGAGGAGACCCTATTCACCTCATCCAGTCTTTCCTTTCGAAACTATGCCGATGTGGACTCTATATGAGGTCGAATGATTCATAAAAGATGAGGCCATTGTGACCCTTTTTTTCCTCTGCACCTAGTCGCAAAGTCACGACTACACTTTTAGGTCTGTCGGCCTGGACGGAAAATTCCACGCATACTGAATGGTCCAGGGTATACGGTGCGTGGATTATCGAGGCAAAGGACCTGACCTTAAGGACAACTTATCTACTTTACATGACAGATTTTACGCAATGTTAGTCGGACCTCAGCTGACAGTTATTTTCAGATTAACTTTTAATTACTCGCTTCAGAGGTTTAAGATGGTCGCTTATCACTAGAATTATTAACCGGCGCCACGCCCTTACTTCCTGAAGCCGGATCAATTTGGCGACAAAGAGGTAGCGATGGCGGCTACACAGGTCAAGCCGTCGCACCCTCGCAAGGTGTCCTGTAGGAGTCAAGTCCGTGTTGTGAGAGTAATTAATGCACGCCTGTCACAAGCGACCAAGGCTATTATGTCCTATTAATTACAAAACTGAGCGGAAGTGAGCCTCAGAGGTTTAAAAAACCATGGAGCGACCAGAAGTGTTTATCACGTTTCGGTCTGGTATGTTTACACCACATCAATTAACACCATACGGAGGGTGCGCCTTGAACTCACCTGAATATCATCATTGAAAGTGCAGTACTTTTCGCGGTACTTCTTGAGGAAACGAAAAGCGTTATGATTGCCAAAGTCCTCAAACTGGATCAGAACATCCTTCCCAAAACTGAAATGGAAACACTCAGTGAACAAGTACACCGACTGATAATGGTAAACAGATTGGGCCGCGTTGAAAGGCAAAATGCGAAGGCAGGTGATTTGGAAAACTTGCAAGACGTTCCCATTGTTTATCGGCGACCTTAATTCAGTATCGCCACGAGTAAGGTCAAATGGATCGCAAGCTCGATTTGGTAGGGAAAGGGACGCTGCAGCAAAGTTTAACTTGGAAATGCTACTGGGGAATGAGGTCGATCAGAAATGGTGATCTCAATTAACTAGTTTACAGAAACGATATACATGGCTCAGCAGCCAGATAAGAATGTTTGAGGATGTACCGCGAAGGGGAGCATGGACAAAGATGAATCCCTTAGAATAAAGATCCCGCTTTGTGGACAGCCTAGCCTTGAAAAAGACGAATGAAATTCCATCAGAAAATGATATGTCTCCTTGAAGATCGTAGATATCAACGGGGACAAGAGATCCGATCAATCGACAGTATGGGAACAGGGGTACATAAAAATGCATTTTCAGTTCCCTTATGTTCGTATTCATCCGCTAGTTGAGATTATGTGCTCAAGAAAAAGTTAAACTTGTTCTATGGTTTCGAAATCGTCCATTCAGAGGAGAGAACGCGAAGGCATGAATTTGGGAAGGTTCTCCAACCTACAATTTGACTGGCATTAGTCATCTCCTCAGATGCTGCCCAATGAGTACAAAGAAACGCTTGTCGTGAGACCAAGTGATTTCCACAGTGATACACCAAACTAGGCCAATCATAGAGCTGACAAGGGGAGATCACATTTGCCCTCCTCCTCGTGCCACTGTGGCGATAAACATGTTTCTGGTACAAAGAAGAAACATGACTGTGCACCTCAATCTCGCACGACATGGCTCATTGATGTTTACTTTTCTGGGTGAGACTACTTAAGAGGCATCATGCCACACAGAAAGTAAGCTAGAAAAGGAATATCTTAAGGCGCATTCGCCTCTACTAATTCCCTTACCAAAGAAATGGTGATCAAGATCACATCAGACCAGTGGATAAAAGTTTATTTCCCCAAGCCCAAAGATAAGCAATTTTCAGTTCCCTCAAGAATAGGACCTACCAAGGGTGCGAAACCTGCAAATGAGTCAACTCCTTGAGGGACACAATTACAACATTTGAAGGACATGAACGTGATCGTATTGGAAGTAATATCCAAAACACTTTGATCCACCTCTGACTGAGTATGTGGAAGGACGCATAGGCAAACAGGGATATTGCACAACGTATGGGTTCTCAAAGCTTGACAGGGGATGGCTGATGAACCAACGGAAGACGCAGTTAAATGGTTCAAAGAGAGGTTAAGAACTCATGCCTAAAGTTTTTCGGAAAGCAGTTTATGGTGAGACCCCGTTTTGTCGATCACTGTGAGCCTAAAGCAATGAAAAGTAAAGCCACGTGGATCGTAACCACAGCTCAGATGGTAAAGAAAGAGATGCAGTGAAAGCCACTGGATAAAGAGATGCAGTGTTGATCCTGCGGGATAAAGTTCACTTATTTATAGCATACCTTCTTTAAAGGGGCGCCTTCACCTTTTACTCTCCCACGCCTCCATAAAGTGGGGGATTTAAAAGGTGCATTACAAAGGACCTGATAGATTTTACTAAAAACGAAAATTAGTGTTCTGGTGGCTGATTAAAAAGGCAATCGTTGGAGGTTTTGAAACATGGCATGAGCTACCTCCTAGCACATGTTTTTTCTAATTTTTATATCAGCCAGTAACTTCGTTAATCGCAAAAAAAGGAGATGAAACCAGGGAGGGTGGTTGTGTCGTTGCAAAAAGAAAGGCAAGAGGCAGAAAACCTACACATCAACGCAGGCCTTTAAGAACTCGTCCACGAAGCCATCGTATGCATCTCCGGTGACGCGTTTATGACGCAAGCCAAAGTAAAGAGGGCTTGAAAGCAGCTTCTGCAGAGACAAAAGAGTCAGAGATCAAATGTTAATTCAATGCCTTCTTTGATCCCATTGTTTAGTGCTAAGAACACAAATACGACTATACGATTCAATGATAGCTAATGCAGCAAAACTCCTTTCTACAATTTCTTGAAATCTTTCCAATACCGCAGCCAATTGCTATGCGCTGCCCAGATCTCAACACCGACCCTTCAGATGACGCCAGTTTCCTACGCTTCACCTTGTCCAGAAAGAAAATCGCCTCGTTCGACTGTGTTGTCGAATCGGTCCTGCCAAGACCAGCACCACTATACTTCTAAAAACGAACCGATTGTTAACCGCGTCAGCCTAAGCGACGCATATGCACAGTGAGTCAGTTTACTTGCCTACGGTCGCGGGAGAGTGTGGACATTGTGAACAACTTTAGGTCAAAGAAAGCGATAAAGAATTTTGTCCTAGGTCTGGAGATACTTGTATCCCTTCCCAGTTCTTGATCAGCAACAGGAGTAGAGACAATACTGAAGCACCTTATGTTAAGAGCTTCGAGAGAGTTGAGAAGTTAACACACTTGATTGCAGGCAACAAAATGGGCTTACGAACTTGAATTTAAAAGCATCTCCAAGTGTTGCTGGGCGAAAGATGATAGCACACTAACCTCGTTGTTGGTGCCAACATCGATGACAACAGGAAGTAGAGACTCGGAGGGGATGCCAGCCAAACCAGAGCAGAGAGCCAGCTTACCCACCGGAATGCCCATCCCGAAGCAGCCCAAATCGCCAAGGCCAAGAATTCGTTCACCATCGGTAACAACGATGGCCTATAATGTGATGAGTGTGAAATTACCAGGATGTGCTTTCGCTACGTCTTTTTGAGTACGACTAGACGCTACTTAAAAGTTGACTGAGTAAAACAATTCATCAAGAACGGCTTTCTCAAATGTAATCGGTTTTGGTGAATATAACCAAGATGCAAGAGGGGAAACTGTCGTAGTTAACAGAGGGACTATAGCACATACAGCAGACGAAACCCATAATGTGGTAATCCTAAATAACCCGATTACTACTGATGTAGACTGAAACCACAAGTAAAAATCTTCAGTTGACACCACTCTGGTTCAGTATATCATGCAAAAAAGTGTGTTTGAAATGAAAGTCCTAACCTTGATCTTGTCGACGTAGGGCCAGTTGCGAAGCAATTCACGAATGTTGCCACCCTCAGTGATGGGAATAAAGAGACCTCTGAAATAAATAGATGGAGAGGGTTTAGTTCGTTAATACATACCGGTTAAAAGATGAGATGGTAACTTTCCATATTCCTCTGTTTTTGTCCTAAAATTGGAGCGTATGTGGTGCATCAGCCCCTCGGACAAGTACATGGTGCATGAACAAGGAGCTACTTTACCTAAAAAAATTACTGCACCATCTCGCAGCATCAACAACAAGCACAACCAATTCTCCCCTTTTGGGTCACTCCAAACTTGGTAAGAGCTAACAAACTTCAACTGTGCTCTGCCTCTAAGCATGCGTGAATCACCACGTTATAAATGTTCACTGCAGTAGTCGAAGGAGGAATATTGCCCACTGCATCAATCTCATGCTAACTCCGTGCTCCCATTCCCTCACCCAGAAAAGCGATGGTCATAAACCTGGGGATCGCTAGTGCAATATAAAGCATAGAGAAATAACCGTGAGGAACTGGAAGTTCTACGTGAAGAGAACTATGTGCAACGCTTTTAAAAGAACCAAGCAGCAAAGGTGTTGGACATCGGTTTCTGGTCCAGAGGGTGGAAAATAACTAGCTGACTGGCCGACTGAATATGCAACCGATTGTGGAACAAGAGGATTCGTATCCGGAACTGACAGTTCATTAAAAAAAGCAAATCCATGTTTAATTATTCAAGGAGTCATGATCCCCAGTTAAGGTAACGAAATTGGCGATTAGGTGGCTGTAAAGCTAACAAGCTTTAATAGTGCTGTAAACAGAAAAACCGCACAATTTCTTCCAGAAGAATCATCCTCCCAATCCCCATATTAATAAACTGACCGATTAACTAGCACATTTTGGACCAGGAAACCCAAACGAGATACTCAAAAAGAGGCTGGAACTGGTGTCAAAACCGTCTAAGGGAGGATTAATGAAAAAAGTAAGTAGCACACACCTTCCAGGCTGATGGACGAGTGAATACTCCTGACAGGCCGCACCCACAGTGGGGGTGTAGACGAGGGGCATCAGATCAGCGGTATGGCGGTTCATAAGGCGGAAGAAATGGCCACGATTAGTGTCGTATATGTGCATCAAATATTCATATTTGTCGAAGTCCGCTGCAATACGCTGAAGACGCGCCATGTTGAGACGCTCCTGAAACGCCGATTCACTGTCCACCAACACCGGCAAGAGACCATTCAGATTGTGCTCGCGGCGTTGCGTCTCAGTGAAATCGAGACCCTGTTAAAGTACCAAGCCAGAGGTACTAGAATCACTACCCACTTACTCATGCGTACACACACACGAGCTATGAGGTGGATAAAAGGTGGCATTAGAAACAATAAAGCGGACGGAAACTTTTGAGTTATGGAAAGATCGTCTTTTTGGGTCTGAAGGTAAACCTTATGCAAATGAGTGACAAGTGGTACTAAGTCAGAGCAAAAAACGCTGTAACTCCAGCAAATAATTTGTATCTAAAATCCCGTCTAGTTTAGTCTACGAATGCAAACAGAACTCTTCAACTACACATCTACCCATGTGTTGATGGAGAATTTGAAGTCAGCACAAGTAGCAGCATTCGAATTGTAAGGGAGATCTCGCGGCGCTGTCTGCCAGAGGTAATGCTAACTAAATGAAACTCGTAGGCGCAGCGTTATGCGCATTAGAGGTCTTGCTTCGATGCAGAGTCCCAAGAAGATCACATTCAAGTGCAAACACTTCAGCAGAGAAGGCCTCTCACGCAAGATGCGGAAGTGAAAAATGAACCCGATCCAAAAGATCAATGGTCCAAAAGCGGGCAAAGACAACTTGGGAGACAAAAGTTGCGATTAGTGTTGCAGTGAATTCTGAACCAGGAAAGGGGCAAATGAAGGCGACAAATCTCATTAATCTACTTACTGGCGTCGGAGCTGAAAAAAGTGAAGATGCATTACCCAGAAAAGCTAAAAAATGCCCAATAAACCTATTGATGGAAAAGTAAGGCAAGAGATTTTTAGCACCAGTGAAGCGGTAGCCTCCTTAACTTGACTAGAATGAAGACGTGTCTATCAACGTACTTTTCAGATATGGACACTGTAAATATGAGCTGTGATGTCTTCCAAACTACATACTGGTGTCCATTACAAGTTCGAGTAGGCAAGTACTGCTGAACTTTCAATTACCAGAAGGCACTGTCCTTTAAAGTCCAAGTGGGGCGTGAAAATAATTAGCAAATGCTTTTGAATGAATTGCAGCTCATACTTTAAAGAGTATTCAAGTGGATTTTTAGGTCCACCATCCCACAAAATCGCAACATGTCAACGGAATAAAGTTACGCATGGAGGACTGAAGATACGGTAAATTTTACCATTCAGTTATCAAAAGACTTGCTCCGACGGTTCACCATAAAACTTTAGATTAGTCAATAGGAGATACGACTTTTAGAGACCAAGATGAAAGAAGTAAGGCATAGTGGATGGCAATTGTTTTTGTGCGCCTCCCAAGCGACCTGCTGCTGATTTTCGTTGTGAAATCGAGATCCAGGCAACATGGAAACTAACATCAAACACGTTATTAAATACCTAGAAAAAAAGCGCCCCTACGGTGCAATTCAGAGAATGCTGTTTCTTATTGAATGCATCTCATCCATCGGGATTTAAAGGGCTACAAACTAATACTGAATACAGCTCAAATAACCCAATTCTGCGTGGCATCTTGCCCCTGAAAAAAGGAAGATGAGGATAAAAGTACAGCACCCCATCAACTTAGCGTATGGCACGTAAACAAGGAGTAAAAATTGGCTTCCTTCACACTCCAATTTCCACCCTTAATAGTGAGTGACCATAAAATCAAAAGTTGGGCATCGGAAAACGCGCACCGATGATTGCAAGGGTAACAATAACATTGACCAGCGATGCTTCTCTAAGACTATTAATAAGCTTGTGGGGCAATTTTCGGAACAGAATCACAGCTTCATTAAGGGATGGTGGTCTCCTCAACAGCCATCAAAAGACTACATAAACTACAGTAGATGCTCAAATTTTTTTTTTAGCTAAAACAGTGTTATTTGATCCAAAGTCTGGTCAGAATGCAATATTTGTACTCTGATAAACAGGAAATGTTTCGTCACACTAACAACTATCTGGATTAAGAGAAGCTGTAAAATCGTATATTTAGAAACAGCAGATCAACCCCAATTACAATGTGGTGCAAAAAAAGGAAGCCAGCCTCTGTGAACCAGAATTGTCTTCCTTACAAGTGTTTTTCAATGCAGTTGACCGGGGAAATAAGTAGTTGTAAATGATGCAGTTGCAAAAATTGTGGCACATTAAAAAAATTGTACAGCTAATAAGCACCAGGTGCAGTTCCTTAATGAAATCAAATATCGCCTGGTTTTTCCGCCAACTACTGAGAAGATATGCATTTGAATCGTCGAGAAATCACGCTAGTGAGAGGAATAATTCGATAACTGACTAGTAATGGATCAATACGTGGTCCTATGCAACTTGCAGTCGCATTGATTCCCCTTCTCAATTGTCCCTCAAAGGAGCAACAGCTCTATGTCGTCTAGCTTTTTAAAAACCTCGCGGGAACCTCTCAGCTAAACGTGTTTTGTTAGCTTGTGCAAGAACCACCCCCTTCTCCAACAAAAGTGAATATATCAGTCCAAAATCTAATAATATACCACTGAGAGTTCATGATGAAAATATTTAGTAGTAATACTTAGCAATATCCGTAGTTAAATTCCTAGGTTTTCAGTTGTGGACGATGTGGCTTACTTTATTTTTGAAAGGGTCTCGAAGGAGTTCCACACCCTTCAGCACAGTCGAGCATCCTGTCTTCACCAATCTTGAGCTCATTTCCTTGTGACCAGCCTGTCAAGCAAATTGAAAAACAAGTAATGAGTAGGGAGTTTTTCAATGTATGGTGGAACGAAATAGAGAAATGCAAAAGGAAAGTCGCAAAACCCAACAATCACGTACGGATAGTGGGAGATCTTGTTTTTTTGCTAACTGACAATGACCTGCCATAAAAGCACTGGGGCAGCTCATTTTCATCAACTTGTTTTTCCACTCTTCAAAATGGGATAAACATAACATTTTCAATATTTATAATTTACTTTACAGTCGATTTGTGTGATAACAGTTCTAAATAGTGGTGCCATTTAAGGGACGCCGTGGTTCCAACTCTACTCATAAGCATAGCGAAAATAAATGCTAACTGGACAATTCTGCAAATAAAAAGCCTACAAAGTGGCGGTAGTGTGAAAAACATTAAAAAATAGGACGAAATCCAGTAGGGAATATCATTTAATCAGTGGGCCAAAGCTTTGCCTTAAATTGATACCCTTTCACATGGGAACGATGCACAGGTTTTTCATCTTCTCCTTGATTAAAATAAATGCTTGAAATAAAACAACCTACTATAAGGTTCATAAGACATGAATTTTAATAGAGTTTAGGAGGTTATGTTTATGCGCCAGAGGAGGTTGTGCTAGTGCATCCACAGCGAGGACAAGAGCAAAGTGAAAAGTACATGTTGGTTGAGGTGAACATGGCGGATACTCAGTAGGCATTAATCGAATTCCTTATCATTTGCATATTGTTTGCCCTCAGTTTTGACCACAATTTGGAAAATAAAAGCATGTAGGGTTGCGAGAATGAACGAGGCCAACAAGCGTTGTCAACATATGATTCATCTCGAGGTGAGGAGAGATGTTAGCCACCGCAAGATCAAGGTAACAATCCACAATCTAGAATATTAATTCAGTTAGTAAAAAGGAAAATAAAGTGGTAAGTAAGCGTGAAAACACTCATAAATAGGTAAGAGAGGCATAAATTGAAACGAAGGAGAGGGATTTACAGCTAGGGCACACGAGACAAAATTGCACTCGGGAGAAGAGAGTGGAGCGGAAAAGAGTGAAGCGAAGTCAAATAGGCGCTTCGATTAACTGAAAAGGGCGAAAACTTATAGGTCATTGGTGCACAGCGATGAGCACTGATGCGCATAAAGTATGCACTCGTGAATCGGCCACACTAAACATGGTCCGCGAGATGTGAGTAAAAAAGTAAAAAAATAAGATCTGATTTTTTAAATTGCGAAACAGTCAGAGAAAATTGGTAGGTTAATAAATGAGTAAACCCACTTTAGAATCCTCAGTCATCGTTGTGATTTTCCCTGCGTAACTGCTTTATTGAAATAATGAATACAAACAAATGAACTATCTAAAAAGATGATTTAGAGCCGTTTTTCGGATTTGTACTTGACTGGAGTGAAATTACTATAGTTTATTTGCTTTTGATCTTGTCGGTGTTCTAGACAATATCACATATTGCCGAATCGCATCGAATTAAAGTAATTTGAAACATAACATATCATAACGTAAAGAATTCAAAAAAGAGACCTGCAATGAATTTTTCCATTGCACTCAAGTTCGATAACGTTAATGTTTTATTCATTTTACTCAAACCAGCTAAATGCCCGGTTTATGTACGAAGGGGTCGAACTGTGATTAAAATCAACGTGCTCTATAAAGACACTTCGCACGTATCAGAGTATTTGTTTTGGGATTTCTGCGTAGTCTCTACATCTCTGTATACCGCCTTAGATGCAGTAATACTTTGTCTAATCGGCGTAGGAGAACTACTCGAAAAGATATGGAATCCTTAGATTCTAGTTTCCCCTTAAGCACTACACCTCACTTCTAATTCTAATGCCCATTTCTCCGCGGTTTTCATAAATTTATGCTAGTCTCTGTAAGAATGGATTGCCTTCCATGTATTTTCCGTCAGTTGTTGGGATGACTAAGTTTTTACAAAGGCAGTAGATATTTTTCAACGCCCCTCACCGAAGTTCAAGCTTCTTCTCTGTCTTAAGCATTGCTTTCAGCAGAAAGAATCGGAAGATAGATCTCACTATTAAGTCTTAACATGAATCTCTCATGAGCATCACAGTAGGAAAGCACAGCAGGATGCTAACTTTCATACCATACTCGGACCTCACCTTGGATCAGATATTAGGGGCTCAAGCTATCATAATTTTGGGGACGGCGCATTTACTTCTCAACAATTTCCCGGCGCAGCTTTTATTTATCTCTCAGGCTGAGAGGGATGCAGTCGATATTTGTAGCTCCCTGAGCTAATTTAAATTACCTCTGTTCTAAGCTGACGCATGCTACGAATGGTGAGAGGGTGAAACTACATTTACTGCTCATCCAATATCATACGTGCTCGCATTGAGGGGAATAGAGGTGATACTTGGACGGACAAACATCGTTATCAGCACGATCGGTACCTATGAGGCAACCTCTCCCCCCACCCTCTAAGAGCATACCACCTTCTACTAAAGCAAAGTGCATTGTGTGATAACTAAAGTGTTCTTCCTATTGCGCCACTGAAGAGGAGCGATGGTAGTTTACGTCTGTGTGAAGATCGTAGGCAACAAAACGCGGTGGCAAAGAAGGTTGCGTTTCCATAACCTCAGACCAATGAGTCATTGCAGTCTCTGCAAGGAGCCAGATGGTTCTCCACATTTAATCAAAATTCTGCCCGTTTCCAAGTGGAAGTAGCAGAGAAGGACAGAGGAAAATGGGTTTCATTATTTTTAACGAGCTTTCAACTTTTAAACAAAGTCATTTGGACTCTGCGTCGTAGCAACTACCTTTTAGCATTGTCTTAACCTGCGGTTGGTGTTACACCGTATTCGAGAAGCAGGACTAACGTAAATTTAAAAAATGCCATTTCCTGTAAAGTTTGGTCACCTTTTTGGATCATACATCCTCAGTCCATGGGACGGAGATCTCGAAAGCGGGTACCAAACCAACGCTAACTTGGTCAGCACCAACCAGTCAACTATTACAGGGGCCTAGTCAGACCCTTTATTAAGATCGTTATTTCACTGCATGAGTTGATGGAAACACAAGCGAAAAGGCCTTCCGATAGGAAAATGAACATGTAGAGGCGTTTAAGAAATCTAAACTCACCACTGTTAGTCCCACCAAACTTTGAGGTCAACGATCCACCTCTTCCACTGGACACGGACCCGATTGAAATGGATGTAGGCGTGGTACTCCCGACAAGGGACAAAGGCGGTAGATAGCATGTTTTCGTCTAGGCCAGCTCCAGCCAAAACAAGAAAAAGTGGGCAAAATAAGTGGAGAGTAAAGAGAGCTACTTGCAATCCATCCATCAAGCACCGCTTCATAGTCATGCAGGTCATAGCGCGTGTGGATTGTCAGGCTTTGACACCGGTGCAAACAATGAGGGAAACCGACCACTGACTTAAACGTTAAAATTCGAGGAGCTTTATCGGTATAGCTTTACTGTTCATTACAGGAAAGGATGCACATACGACAGTGTGGAAGCACTGCCTCGCCGACCTTTTTTTGACGGATACAGACGGAGTTAAAGTGGATGCGCTGTTGTTTATCGAGCCTATTAACCATCACTTAAGAAGTACCCACTGCACCGATCTCGACACCATTCTTGCATATGTGAGGCTGCAGATGTACTTGGGCAAGCCGATTTGATCAAAATTCTCCCTGGAAGATGGTGTACTATAGCACCAGGACAATACAGTGAGTCCCAAACGCCTTGGAATTCCCGACTCGCTGAAACAAACAAATCTATAAGAGCTACTCGAACAAATAATTCACATGGGCGAAATGGAAGATGGTAGGGGCCATGTAAAGCTTGCATTACATGCAGTAGTGTTAAGAGTTTCCATCGCACTCCCTTAGCCTTTGCCCACGGAATTTTCAGCAGTGAGTAGACATCGACATCATCGGGACTTTCCCAATAACGGGGAAGGAGAGTCTCCAAATTTTAGCGGCAATAACAGTCAAAACAACGGCGTACCTGAATCTGTTCCGAGCGATTAAGGTTCTACTTTTGGAAGCTGAATTTTGGTAGAGATGCGCAAAATGTAGACAACATTAAGACATCTTCAGGGCAACAGACAAGTTTTAC